CTCATATCAATGTATGACGTTGATTCAAAAAGTCAAATAATTATAACTCCACAAAAGATTTTAATTTGTTATAATATATCTTTAATATATATATATATATATATATTATAAATAAAAAAATATGATGAGTAATTAACAATTTTAGAGTACGTGGGTAAACAATCTCAGTTGACATCTCACTTCTCTCTTAAGTCGTAAGTTCAATACTCATATTGAACAAATTTTTTCCCTTTTTCTAGGTAGGAATTATTGAAGAAAAAAATGAGTGAAGAGTAAATTAAAGTCATTGAACTCTAAAACTAATAACCTTAAGAGGGCTATGAGCCTATGTTTATCTGTGTATATAAATACTGATTAAAGATAACTAATAATTTTTTTTATTTAACATATTATATAAAAAACATTAATTGCGTTTTCTATAAATATCATCTCAATAAGAATCATTGAGTTAATAACAATTTTGAAATAATTAGTGGCAAAAATCTAATATAGAAAATAGCAGAAAACCCTTAAAAGTAGAAGGTGTAGCTCACATTTTCCATGGAAGTTGGGAGGAAAAACATGTCTGGGTTTATCACTTTATGCACCAATTAACTTCTGTCAACAATGAATCTTAAACCAACAGACATACCAGAGGTCAAGGAAACATTGGGGGGTGGGGGGAACTCTTGCAAATCAAGAAACATAATTTCCTTACACAATGTAGTTATGGGTTTAGTTGGGTTAAGCCACTGGATTTAAAACAAAGATTATCAAGAAACTTCTTTTTGATTGAAATTAAAAATTAAATTATAAAATCACAACCTGCAACGTTTTTTAAATAAAGAGCGTATCTTAATTGCATGAGATAGTATTTGTGGTTGTCATAAGCAATTAGGAACGTATCTTAACATAAAATTTACATAATTAGAAAGTTGAGGGAGGTCCATTCTCATTGATTTTCTTTGTTTGCCATTCATTTTATCTATAATTATTTACTAAATAAAATTTTAAGTAAACTACATATTTAGTCATCTACCTATTCTAGTGATTCCGTTTTATTTATTCAACTATTTTTTTTAAAATTATACTTAACATTACGTTTTGATCATCCACTATTAAAAAATAAATAAAACTACTGATGTGTCACAATAAGATAATGTCATGTCATTATTAAAAAATAAAAATATCACGCTAGCAACTATATTTATTTTTAATGACGAGTGATCAAAATGAAACTAAAATATAACGTTAGATGTGATTTTAAGATAAATAATAGTTAAGTAACCAAAACGAAACCGCAAGAATATACTATATTTAGTTTTTTTTTAACAATTACTACCTAGAGTTTTATTAGCTGCTGAATGGGGCTTTTAAAAACTGCAAGAATAAGTAGGTGACTAGATATATAATTTACCCTAAAATTTTATAATAAAAAAAAACTTTTATACATAATATTTTGTTTATGTAAATAATAAATGTGACAAACTCTAATAATATAACAAGAATTATATCATGCACTTATAAAGGGAGCATGCATTTATGCATTAGGTCTTACCTAATTAATCGGCATTTCTTCCATACCCATTTTCAATCATAATCTAAGCAACCGATATAATACACTTGGGCCGATGGTATTCAATTCTCATTTATTAATAATTTTATTTTAATTGGATTTCGTTGTCCTGCAACACATTACGATGGCAATCACTTTGCTTATGAATCAAGTAATTGAATACCCAAATTACTTTTATGTCATAATTTGCAGAAAGATAAATACCCGTCTATTTTAATTAACACTAATAATTATAAGGTAGGTTTATTTTATTAATGATACATTATATTTATTCTGTTAATCAAGTTATTTATATTTGTTATTTTATATTTTTTAGGTTATGAAATTTAGATCTATTAGGAGTATTCTCTTTCTTTCTTCTAAAGTCTTTGTTTTCACACTCCTCTAAATAGAATTAAGATTAGATTTAAAATTTATAAAAATAAATAAATTCTATTTTTAACAAATTACCATATCATGTGTCGTCCTTAATGAGTTTATCATGATTTTTTTTCTAATACAATATAACTTTTTTCTTACAACATTTATTGATGTAAATTACACGTTAATTAGTAAAATCAAAATTAAATCTTAGGATAAACATGGAGAGAATTAATCATATATTATTATTTAATATACCAATAATATATCATCTACCATTACCTGCTTAATTTAATATTTAAATATTTATTTTGAATAATTTGTTACAATGTATATACTATTTAGATCCCTGTAACTATAAATTATAACTAATATCGAGATTACCTTGTTAAAAATTAATATCGAGATTTTTTTCCTTTTATTCTTTTGCCCTAGTTTTTTTTTATGTTGCTTGTCCTTTTCTATCTTTGTTGGTAGGCGACGACAGTAATTTAATGCTAGTAATTGATCACTAGTATTTCTTTTTTTTTTTTTTTTTATATTGTATCTTTGTTTTATATTTTGGTCTATCTTTTAACACCTTTTTATCGGTCGTTTGATTGTTCTCATCGTTTAATTTTTTCAGGGTTTGATTTGACGTCGCATCGATGATCAAAATAGTGTTTATTTTTTATCATACCGATCTGTCATGCGTTGGATCCTCATATTGAATTTGGATATGCGATTTGATTTCAAAGATAGTTTTCTCACAACAGTCGACTCTAATTTACGATTGTCAATGATCTTTTAGCAAGTTAATCTCATGTTATGGTTTATTTACCGAAGTATTGAGAACTATTCACATATATATTTTGATCAAGTTTTTGGATTTGTTATTTTTCTTTATATGATTTTTGCACAGTCATTTTAGTAGAATGACATAGTTTTTAGGCTCTGGTCTTGGTGAAAGATAGCGGGCCTAAGCTTTGTGGTCTTTATTTTTTTTACCCGAATAAAAACAAGTTCTGTAAATGTCTCATTTTACCTATCGTTTTGGTATGCATTATTGCCTACATTAAAAAATTAGCTGACCCTTATTCCCATATGTAATGGGATAAGGGGGAGGTAGGATAGTAGGATGCCCCCAACGCTAGTTGAGAGCAACTTCCGTAGGAGACCTCCGAATTATGAAATACCCTCCGTGGGACTCGATCCCACGACCCAATGTTAAGAGTCTTGTGCTCTACCAACTGATCATATACATTGATATTATCTATCATTAAAGCATAAGCATTTACATTTCTATTGTTATTGCTAAAGCATGATCATAAATATGTCTTCTAATAATATCCATAATTAATTCTACCTCATTAAATCATGTAAGCTTACATTGTATGTTTAATTATTTTGCAAACATCAACCTCCACAATCTAGTTTGAAATTGTATCTTGTGGATTGTAAGCTATTATCGATCTTTTACGGTGTAATTATTCTTTTTCTAAAACTTTTAATACGGTGGTTATGTATATAATTTTGTAATGTGTATTAAATGACATTTTTAGTCACGTGTTAGTTTGCTTAATTATTTTGGTATGAACAATGTTATGATCTTATATGTTATAATCTTGGGAGTTTATTAATGTTATGGTGCTAAAATAATAAGGATAGTATCTACGCACCACTTCATGATTCAGTAAGATAAAATTGAACATGTGAATATGTATGATTCATGATGAAATTAGGAAATAATTCTTGATGAAGCATGATTCGTAAGAGTATTTAAAGTAATATGATCGTAGTATGTTTGAAGTATATTTTTATGTGGATTAATTTAGTTGGTTGATATATGATGTTTAGTGAATGGTAAAAAATGTTTTTTTTAATAATCTATAAGGTGATTACAAGTAGTATTTGCTCTAAAGATTTTCAGTCATTTAACAATGAAAACTCAAGCACTTTTATAGTTTCTGGTGCTCAAACCTTAGACATCTAGAGATAACAACTATCCCTTTAATCATTGAAATAACTTGATTCGTACGAATGATAAAAAATGTTAAAGACGTGTTTTATGGATATTTTGATCATTTTGTATTTAGTATCGGTATTATACATGTGACATCGAAACTAAATCAATAGGAAGTATCAGTATTACCCCTCAAATTATTGATATCATAAGCCAATTATAAATCACAATACGTCATCTCAGTGTAAACACCAATCTGTTGAAATAGTGATACAATATATCAAATTGGTACCAATATTGTTCAAGAATAACATTATTGATTATTGAACATCGATACTCATAATTTAGTATTATACCAATCACCTGAAATTGTTAAATTATTTAAATAGTCCCTCACTCATATAGGATTCATGATATGCCTTATAACTGTAATGTTTGTATGATTTATGTTTGATGACCTTCGATATTGAACTCTTTACAAATTAGTCTCTAAGCCATATCGTTGACTAATTGACTATATATATATATACTGAAAATGACTAATTGACTATATGTTATCTAATTAGGGCTGATAATATCATCGACATAGTTCTAAACAATAAATGTGACATTATTAATTTGATTCAAGACTAGACAGAGACTGGTAGGTCGGAATTGATTTAACTTACATGGAGCATTTATCTTAAAAATCAGAACAATTTGAGTATGATTCAATAAATAAATCAGATGAACCTCTTTGGTTAGATTTATACAGAACGAAAAGAATTCCTCTCCCAAGATATGTTGCAAGTGTTGAAAGAAGAGTGTTTCATCAGACTCATGAACATTGATGCTAAAAATACTTCCTCTTTAGTGAATCGTGTAGTTAGATCAGCTAAGTTCACCTCCTCAGTGATGCACTATTCAACGCCCAACAACACTCTTCATTCGAAGAATTAGAAGATGCGAAGGGAGAAGTATTATTGAACTAATGCCTCCATCTCTACTTCCTTCTTCATTCACACCTCATTATCTGATTCAATAATAGAGATCTGATTGTGTCGTTTCCTTTAAGAAAATTGATCACAATTATAAACCCCCTAGCTAAGCGGTAGAGTTATCAGAAGTTTATATATGATTTGTGATCATAATTAATCTTTAGAGTAAAACTAACCCAATCGAAAATTTATAGAGTAGAAATGATCATTTCTCCTTGCATGATAACGTTCACTAGCATGGAACCACCACCAGTAGCCATGGTTGTTCTTTAAATGACCATTTTATTTACGTCCAGGAAAACAAAACACCGTACTCTTTCATCGTAGAAGAAAATGAAACATCACAGACTGACATATCAAACACCTGTTTCCGCCATCAACGGCTTATTTGGACTTGAAAGGGATGGCCCTTATCACTATTTGGTGGTACAAAGCTGCCAGTGCTGCTCCGATGAAAGGCCCTACCCAGAATATCCACTGCACAAATACAGGATTTTGCATTAGAACGTTTTTCAAATCATATTCATTGTTGTGTTTATAAAAAATACTCACATGGTCATTCCATGCTTGCTCCTTGTTGTAAATAAGAGCTGCGCCGAGGCTCCGAGCCGGATTAATGCCTGTTCCGGTGACCGGAATTGTTGCCAAGTGAACTAGGAACACAGCAAACCCAATAGGCAGTGGTGCCAAGATCTGATATTCATTTAAATTCAACGATAAAAAAGCTATAAGAATTTTAGATGGAAAGGTAATGGAAGGTAGAGAATTAAATTGTAGCTTTTTGATTACCGGGACGTGGGAGTCTCGTGCATTACGCTTGGCATCAGTGGCGGAGAAGACAGTATAGACTAGAACAAAGGTACCAACAATCTCAGCTCCGAGGCCACTGCTCTTGCTATAGCCTGTATTAACGGTGTTTGCACCGCCGCCTAGTGTTTCGTATTGGCTCTTTTCGAAGCCCTTTACGACTGCAGCGCCACATATGGCTCCGAGACATTGCATTATCATGTAAAAGACTGCTCTTATAAGCGACAACTTCCTCGCTAAGAGCAGCCCGAACGTAACCGCCGGGTTAATATGTCCTCCTGCAACACAAACAATCAGTCGCTTAGCCATATATTGAAACTTGATTTTAATCAAGTAGTGATGTGTTGTGTACCAGAAATGCCTGCGGTGCAGTAGACAAGAGCGAAGATCATGCCACCGAAAGCCCAAGCGATGCCCTGGATCCCCACTGTCTTGCACTTGGTTGGAGATTTGACGACGCCCATCACGGTTAGAACAGTGATGTAAAGGAACAAGAAAGTTGCTACGAATTCTGCTATGCCGGCCCTGTAAAAGGACCATGAGCTTAACTCGCCAGTCTCGTACAGTGGTGATGCAGGTGGTTCCTTGTAGTCCTTGGCATCTTGGGTTTGAGCGGCTGTTCCTATAGGCTGCCTCTCCCTGTACTTATTGGCTCCCAATCTCACATCTTCACCCTGCCCTTCCATTGTTCCTGCTAGGGATGAGTACTGAGGATTCTTGTTTTCAGGCTTTCTGGGTTGGAAATGGATCAAACAATGAACTTAAAGGTGAATTATGTGCATAACTTTGGAAGTGAGGGGAGGAGGTATTTATACAAGATATAGTTACACTTTTAGTTCTTCTATTATGTTGAATTAATTTTTCCACTTTAATTTGATATGATTTGAGCCTTTTTTATAATGTTATTGGTAATTCTAAAACATTTTGGATTAAAATATGTAATTGTCGGTAGATATGTATAATGTATGATGTCATAACTATTAAAATATTATAAAAATAAAAATATCATAAATTATATTTATAATTAAATAAGAAAAAGAAATTATTAATAATTATAAATTAATTTAATGTTCAATTTATATAAAAAGACAATAAGCGAAAAAACATGTTAACTTATATTATCCTTATCATTATCAAAAATTTGTAAGATAAGAATAAATCTATCTTCTTAAAAGATCATAATAACCTTTTAAATAATCTCTAACAATAAATTAAGATACATTTTTAAATTTTAAAATTTTATTTTAAATAATTTGACAGATCTTTATTAGATTTTATATTTATTATAATATAAAAATTAACCGACCTTTATTCTCATATGTAATAGGATAAGGGAAAAGATAGTAAATTGTCCTAATATCAGATTGATAAAATCTTCAAATTATAAAATACCCTCAAAATAAATATTAAATTCTAAATTTCAACATAGTTGATAGACTAAACAAAGATTGAGGGTGACTAAGCAGAACCATGCGGAGTAGTGTGATTGGTGGGAAAGGATAATGGACTGTGTAAACTGTTGTGACATGTGACCGACACTCCATAATCCTACACGTAGCTGGAAAAGTCGCTTCTCTGCTGGATGTCATGTCCTTGAGTAATTTTCACTTCATTAAATATACACCTTGCATTTTCTTCAATACTGCAAGCATGCAGTAGTGCTTATTTTTTTCTTTCTTTTTCACAATATGTGGTGAGCATTGAGCAGTATGGTTATGATTCCACCTTTCGGCGTAAATTATTGTTCATATTCAAAATTTATATTTTTTATGGCCTTGATAACAGACAAAATTTTGATAGAATCGATTCTAGTAATAGTATCAAATGATTTTGGTCTTCAGATTTAGACATGTGATGCATTTACTATCATTCAAAGAATTGATATTACTGGAGGCCGAGAAGGAGGTTATAGCAGGGGCTGCCAGATGTTTCAGTCCGAGCACTCACACCCCCGGGACCGAGGCACACTCAAGATGCCAGTCCCAAACCAACCCCCACCCTGAACCATGGACTGAGATCAAGCAATCATTTCACTACCAACAGCACCAAAACAATGTTGTTTTAGTTCAAAATGCAAGTTTCTTTTTGTTATTTAGTTGTTGGCTTATTTATTTTAATTTGGATTAAGTGTTGTGGTCGGTAAAAAAGGGTTTATTCATCTGTGTTTCTCTAAGAAACAAAATCGGCTATAAAGAAAAAGATGAAAGAAAATTATCTTTAGGTCGTGGAAGGTTTGACCCTTTTATCCATCTTAGTTAAAGTATTTATAAATCAACAGATTAAATAAATTTGATAGTTAAACCTATATTTAATGTGTTCTAATTGATAACGTATATCCCTTAAAAATATTATTTTTGTATTGTTATTCAGCGTAAGAGTCTGTCTCTCGATAGTGTAAATTCCTTGATAAATAACCCCTATAAACAAAAGGTTTCTTTGAAGACCTTTTACTACTGACATACATCACGTATGGTAAAGACCGAGTAATTTGCGAATAAAAAAGCATTTTGCAGTGCTTAACCACTGCCATTTCAAAGTACAATTACTTTAAAAGGACGAGGGTTTGGTCCAACCTAATAATATAGTAAAAGAAAAGTTGCCTTTTTTTTTTCCTTCATTGGATATATTTTCTTCCACTAGAGTGTATGAGCATGCAGCTATAGGACCGACCTTTTTGCAGGGGGAGGAAATGTGGGTGGTGGTAGCGGCCCTCATGTTGCATTGCTTTTGGTTGATTAACAGCCGCAAGATCAACTGAGTCTAGATTCTATTTAACATCGTGACGGACCGACTTTTGCCGCCCTGATATTGACTCGTGTAAAATAAAATTCATGTACGTCACGTTGCTGGGCCGGCTGAATGAAAGGGAAGATCGGGCTCTACCGTCAACAAAGACCCACTAGCAAAGGCTTTTTCTGCAATGTTTCTTGAGATGGATCTACAAAATTCAGGCCTATGGGTCTATGATATTGGTTTCTAATTGCTTCGGGACTATGGGATTATTCTTGGGATGCCTATTTTCAGTTTATGAATTAAGAAAATGAAATATTGTTTTCTTAGAGAATCTCGAGTTCGAGAAGCTATCTATGTATGTGAGATATATATATGTATTATCAATTAATTAAAAAAGTTATAAATATATACTACCATATAATTACTCCGATATTTAAAAAAAGAACTACTTGGTATACTGATAATGGAAGTGTTCTGACTCCATTGGTTGAGCAATGAAATTAACAAAAAAAAAAAATCAATTTAAATCGAATTATGCAATTTAAATGGGTTTTAGTTTTTTTATTTGAGATTCAATTTTGTTCGGTTTAGGTATATAATTTTATAATTTGGTTTGGTTTTAATTTTTCCCTGTGAAATCTATTTATTTAAAATCAAAACGTATTAAATAAAATAATGATAGTATAAGATAAACTTAAGCAAAAGAACTCTTAAATTAAAAATATTTTTTTGTGTGAATTTAAACCTGTGTGTTTGCATTCGATTTAAGTTTAAAGTTTATTTTTTTATGTTAAGTTGGAAAAATGATAAACAGTTAAAAACTATAAAATTAAATTTAATCGAAGTGAAGCAAACTGAAAAGTTCAAATTTTATGTCATTTATATTGATTTTGATTTTATTTTTAAAAAGCTGTAATAATGTAATACGATTTATTTTTTATTAAAAAATTTAATTGAACCGAACTAAATATAACTCTAATAAAAAAAGTTGGATAGGTGATACATATACTTTAAATGAGATATATAACAATTTTTAAACTAATTAGAATATGATATGCTCTCATAAAATTGAGTTTTAAACTTTTATTAGTTTGGGGTATATATAAGATAATATTTATTCAAAGACTCTCAACTATTTGATATTGAACGTTTATACTCTTGTACACGTGGTGTCTGAACCTAAATTTCAAGAGATAACAACAATCCCTTAACCATTGAGGTTGTTTAGTTTGTGCTTTAAATTAATATATTTAGAATTAAGGTATAAAAGGAAGAGAGTTTTTGGCTTAATGGTAAGGTTGGATTTTTAGAATTTTGAATGACATGGCATAGGTAGCAATGAATTGAAAGCTCAAAGATTTCAAATGGAAGCATATTTATAGGTTGGTTTGAATGAGGCTGCAAAAGAAAACTCATGTGGGTATCTGTGATCGCAAGACCTAAAAGACAGATGGGTTGAGCATTGTCTGCCCATCACTTGTTAATTCAAAACTAGACTGTGGTTGGAGAATAACTTTGTAAAGGAACAAGAATCTCTTTACATATACCCAAATCTTGGCGTGGGTTACCCCTCATGTCCGCCACAATAACTCTCCTAACCAGGGAAGGGAGACAAATAATAGTGGAAAGAACATAACAACATGTGTTTATTTTCATTCATTCACCATAACTATAACCATTTACTTTGAGAGGTGCAGGAATGAGCTGAAGGCACATCAGACGTGTAAAAGTGGAGGGGAGAAAGACACTTTTATATTTTTTTCAGCTCAATTTGCCTAGAAAAACTTGGAAAAGAACAAGTGGCTGCTGCAATTGCATCGGGTGTTTAGGCCCTGGAAACACCTTTCATCCTGGCATTGGCTCATAAAGGATGGGAAATATTAGGTTTCCTTTTGAGTCAAAAAGATGCCCTCAAATTCGATGGTGGGTATAGTTTGAAAGGACATATCCTATTCAAAATAATCATTTCATAATCCCTTTGATTGGATTCCACCCAAGGGTCTTAAAATATCTTTAGACCCAAGCCTCTCAACACAATTCTTTAAAAGAAACTAATAACATTTTAAGAATAATTTTTCTTCTAATTTTTAAAAATGATTTTTTATAAGAAAAAAAGTAAATCATTTGACATAAACACATCTATACAATTTCACTTTCGCTAAAAAAATATAAAATTTTAAAAGATTTTGTTGAGATGAACGAGAACAAAGTTATAATAATTGGATGCGAGGAAAAAAAGTTGAGTTGGCGGTTTAATAATTATGGTTACGGTGGAGAACCGAACTTGTTGTTCCATAGAGGAGAGGATAGAACAGTCAAGTTGAAAACGATGATGAACAATTGTCGAGTAGTGAGAGCCTGAGAGAGAGATAGTCTAAGGCTAGGATCCCTTATCCAGTCATGCATGATCGTTTATATATTGAGCTTTAGTGTAGGTGTCATAAGATGATTATTATTTTGTAAGTTGACAGGCTAAATAAATTTGGTTGACAGTTATTACATTATAGATTACGTGGGACCAAATATCACTTCAAGGTCTCTAGTTGTCCTTTAGACACGAAGCTCTGGAGGCCTCAAGAAACTCTAGAGGATATGGAGCTCTAGAGGCTTCAAGGAACTTTAGAGGTCTCAACGCTCGATAAGCGGAGGAATGAGAGAGGTGTGACTTTCGAAGTAGATTCAAATGAGGTACAACAGTTGTTTTCACTTAACGGAGGAAATATCATAAAGTGGCTTAAACTGAGACTTGCAGGGGAGACTCACGTTGCTCTTACAAAGGCTACAACAAAAGGTGATTAGCAGAAGAAAAGAGGGCTGCTGCTGAAGAACTTGAGTTTCTGGTGTTAGAGTTAAGCCACATAGGCTCAAAAACTATCTATCTCCACATTCGGAGGTAGTATCGGAAATAATTTGGCAGTAAATGGTTCATTTTCTAATTCAGAGGTTCTTGTTGGTAATCCTCAGTTTGGACTTCTTTATGTTATAACAATTAGGATTTTGAGCGAAGTCGCTTCAACTGCCTATATATATAGCGGAGGATTGATGAGATAACGAGGGACTTTGAGAGAAGCTA